CACAAATGGTAACATTCTAAAGATACTCTTCTGTACCTTCATGGTACAAGTACACTAACCCCTGCCTAGGACTTAGCAAAGGCCACAGCCACGTATGGGCAGGGTGGGCTCTTGGCCTCGGAGCTCTGTGTCCGGTGCTCGTTCCCCACAGCACCCTGCCGCTAACCCACAGCAGCCGACTCAGCCCCAACCTGCCTCGAATATCCACACCCAAAAGCAGTACTAAATGGCCCATGCTGCCTTCTGGGCAGGACACTGCATTGTGCAGAAGGGACCTTTAGGCTCATTCCTCCATCTGTGAAACGGGGCTCCCAGGGGGCCGAGCAGGTGGTTGGACTCACCCTGTCCGCCTTCTTGTGCTGTGTGGACGCAGCAGACAGAGCCTGCTGTGACTCTGCTGCAAAGTGCCAGGAACGATGCAGGCGACCGGCCAGATCCTTCGACTCTCCTGGAATGAGAGAGGTTGAGATGTGGCACGAAGGACTCCCCCTAAAGGCCTGTGAAAGTGCCAGGTGGAAGGATGACCGGGTGCCCAGATTCCCACCTTCACATTTCCTGGCAGCCTCCTGGCTGTAGTAGAGCCCTGTCTCCAGTTCAGTCTTCTGACTCGTAAGGATTCGTATAGTATGATCCTGGGTCTTTGGAAGAAAAGACAAGCAAGTGCTGAAAGAGAAGCAAAGAAACCTTCTCCAGAGGACAGGAGGGAACTTCACACCCTCCACTCACCTCTAGCTCCCTCCTTAGGGCTTCCTGATGTTGGTGGCTTGCCGCCTTTTCCTATAGGAGGAGGAAGACAGAGCTCTTACTAGGGGAAGGCAGAGATGGCACAGCAAGAGATGCCCCCAGAACGGCACCACGGCCCCAGGACAGGCCTACCCGTGGGGCCAGGTTATCAGGGACCCTGTGGGGATGGGGTGGAATCTGGGGGGTGAGCCTTCCCCAGTCTGGGAGTGGGCCAGGCGAGACTGGGGCCTCTACATCTGAGTGCCCCCCAAACCCAGCAGTCATGTTGTGAGCAAACAAAGAAATCATGTTACTTCTTCCAGCTGAGCTCAGTTCTGTTGTTTCTGTGGGGAGAGTCGAAGGGAGGTGACTGAGGGTGGCCCCCTCGACTCTATTCCTCAAGTCAGGAAGCGGTAGGCAGGGGCCAGGGATGGATTTTAAATGCAAAGTTATCAGACCCAATGGGAACACGAACTGGTCAACTCTCAACTGCCAAAAAAAAAAAAAAAATGGATTTGGGTCTTTGTTGGTTTTTGCCCACAGCCACAGAACTGAAAGGCTGAAACTAGATTCTCTGGAAAAGACACTAACATAAACCTTGAGAGATGGAGTGTGAGAAAAGCCCACCCTTCTGCCAGCTTGTGATTTAGAAAGGTGTCTTCATTCAGCAAACATTGACCAGGCACATACAGGCCAGGGACGGTTCTTCACAGCTGGGATATGGGACAGCTGGGATACAGGACGGAAAAGGCAGACAGAAGCCCTTGGCCCCAAGGTTTCCATTCTAGTAAATCTTTAAATCTCAGACTCTCAGAGCAAACAGAAACCTGTGATACTCATAACTCTACCTCCTCAGGAAACGCAAGTCCAAAAGAGGAGAGGAGTTTACAGCAGGCCCTGGCCTAGGGATTAACACAAAAGCAACAACAATAACAAATCTGATTCAAACCTCACAAATATAAGTAAAACATTACCATCCCAATTTTTTTTTTTTTTTTTTTTGAGGCAGAGTCTTCACTCTGTCGCCCAGGCTGGAGTGCAGTGGCACCATCTCGGCTCACTGCAAGCTCCGCCTCCCGGGTTCGCGCCATTCTCCTGCCTCAGCCTCCCGAGTAGCTGGGACTACAGGCGCCTGCTACCGTGCCCGGCTAATTTTTTTTTTTTTAGTAGAGACGGGGTTTCACTGTGTTAGCCAGGATGGTCTCGATCTCCTGACCTCGTGATCCGCCCGCCTCGGCCTCCCAAAGTGCTGGGATTACAGGCGTGAGCCACCACGCCCGGCCACCATCCCTATTTTATATATGTGAAAAGAGAGGCCCAAAGAGCTCAAGCAATTTGCCGTAAATCATGTTCCTAGTAGATGGAGAGGTAGGATTCAAACCCAGAATTTTTTTTTTTTTTTTTTTTTTTTTTTTTTTTTTTTTTTTTTTTTTTTGAGGCAGAGTCTTCACTCTGTCGCCCAGGCTGGAGTGCAGTGGCACCATCTCGGCTCACTGCAAGCTCCGCCTCCCGGGTTCGCGCCATTCTCCTGCCTCAGCCTCCCGAGTAGCTGGGACTACAGGCGCCCGCCACCTCGCCTGGCTAGTTTTTTGTATTTTTTAGTAGAGACCGGGTTTCACTATGTTAGCCAGGATGGTCTCAATCTCCTGACCTCGTGATCCTCCCGTCTTGGCCTCCCAAAGTGCTGGGATTACAGGCTTGAGCCGCCGCACGTGGCCAAACCCAGAATTCTTAACCAGTACCCGGCAGTTCTTCCTTCCACAATCTTAACAGTTACCTTCTACCCGCCCCTCGTGCCCCTGACCTCAGGAGACCAGCCAACCAAGACTCACATCCTCAGGTGAATGGCAACCACCAGAAGTGGTTGTCTCAGGGTTAGTGCCATTATTTATTTTCTTTTTGGTGTCGGTTCCTCCGGTACCAACACCAGCATTGTTCCACTGATGATAGCCTCTAAACTGTAGAAAAGAAGAGCAGTGATACTCATGAGAACTCCAAGGTCCTACAGTCAGTTTACAGTTTATACAACATACTCTCGTAGATGATCTGATTTAACGCCACCAACAACTGTACGAGGTGTTGTCAAAATCACGACTGAGAGGGATCAATACTGTGGCAGAAAAAAAAAGGCAATAATGGACCTTAAACTCAGTCTTCTGACTCTGAGCTCTGGGGTTTTGCCACAAATCGGCAGTTTCCAGGGACCAAAACCAGAGGCAGAGGTAGAAAAGTAAAAAGTAGGCAGGAAAGTACACACTGTGTGATTTAGAGTCATACATCCTCACACGTCTGTTAGTGTGAAGAAGTACACCACTACCTCTCAAACTTTTACATCAATGTATCCTCAGGGCAGAAGCCAGCTTTTCTGTTAAATCTGGGAATTTAACAGAGGACAACCCAACCTTCATTTCAGAGAGAAGTCTGGTATACTCTTAGAAATCTATGTGACTATCATCCCCAAGAGCATTAATCTTTTGTCTCTTTCAAAAGAATCAAGGGAAAACTGTATGCTTCAGAAAGGTGCCCCATTTTTATCCTGTGGCACTCAAAGTACCCCAGGTTGAGATGAGATGAGGAAGATTTGAGTTGTCAAGTTCAGTTTCCCAAGATCTATTCCACAGAAGATGAGCAAATCTCACTTTAGAGACCACTGACTGATGGGAACTGTGGTCCCGGAACCATGGAGAATTCAAATATGAGGTGTAGAACTTGGAAAAAAATGGTTAAAGTCTCTTTGGAGAGTAGAAGCCTGGGAAGAAACCAAACCAAACTCGTTCTCCCATTGCCACCCAGAGACACTGTGAACATTTTGAGTTCACAGGGGAGGTGTAGCCTTGTCAGACGGTCAATGTCTGTGTTAAGGGACTAAGGCAGCCCGAAACTTCTCGCTCCTAGGTCACATCGTCCCTACTCTTCTTCCAGCTGGAAATCTGTGCTGCAACCAGAGGAACCAGAAAAGGGGCAAGAACACTTAGGGTACGGGTCCTAAGATCAAAGGCCTGCCTCGCGGCAGTAATGATGGTTCCTAGAGGGACTGTGACGTCACTACATTCCACTCCTCCGTGCGGTGGTGGGGGACCAGGGACACATCGGTACTATGCCCAAGTTGCCTCTTTGAGATTGGGGAGGGGTTCACAGGGTCGGGACCCAGGTCCTTGGAGACGTGAGCCCAAAGAGCCCAGGGAGGTCAGGCTTGGGCGGTGGGAGGTGAGGGCCGAGTATGGAGTGGGGAGCCCCAGGAGTCACCTGCCCAAAGTCACCCTGGGTCGACTGGTGAGGGCAGGTGCAGGGGCACCCAGGTCCTTGGAGACGTGAGCCCAAAGGGCCCAGGGAGGTCAGTTTTGGGGTAGTAGGAGGTGAGGGTGGAGTACAGAGTGGGGAGCCCTAGGAGTCACCGGCTCAAAGTCACCCTGGGGTCACTGGCGAGGGCAGAGGCAGGACTGCTGAGGGGGTGGGGCTGGCTGAGAAGATTTTGGTTGGGGGAGCCCAGAGTCACTGGGAGGACCGAGCCTGGTGTGCCTCTGGAGTGGCACGAACTCTGGCAGCTGTTCTGCTGTCTGAGGGGGCCTGGGGCTGGGTTTGGGTTGGGGTGCCACAACCCTCTGCATTTTACCTTTTTCTTGGCCTCAGCCAATTTTCTCTCTCTGTTTTCTTCTGACATCATGGGGTGGGGAGGGAAGTGGGGTTGGGGCCACAGTGGCGTGATCCAGATGAGTACACCGATACACCTCCAGTCACCTACCAGGTAGCTGTGTGACTGAGCCAGAGGAGGCGTAACCAGGGCCACACTAGAATGCAGAATAGGGGCGTGGCCTTAATGCTTGAAGCCCATTGGTCAGTGAGAAAGATGAAAGGGAAGGGAGGCGGGGCCAGGCAGCCACGTGTCATGAAGGACCTGTGATGTCACATGGAAGGCCGCCCATGTGACTGCTGTTCCCACCCACTCCAGGAGAGGGGTGGTGCTGGCTTTCACTTTCAAAACTTTAAAACTTTATCACCTTAATTGAGGTACAAATCCAATGAAAATGGAAAATTTACAGTGTTCTTGATGATTAATGAAGCAGACTATATTATCCAACATTCCAATAAGATAAAATAATCACAATGATTTCTCTTTTTCTCCTATATTATTATTATGATTTTTTTTTTAAACAAAAAACCAAGAAACATATTTAATATGTTTAAAAATACAAAGCTTTTGAGCCAGGTGTGGTGGATCATGTCAGTAATCCCAGCACTTTCAGAGGCTGAGGCAGGTGGATCACCTGAGGTCAGGAGTTCAAGACCAAAATTTTAGTATTTCAGTATGTATTTTAGTATTTAATACATCGTTTAGGGCTACATGTAGTCAAAGAAAAAATAAATCTGGTTCAGTGACTTAAAGAAATACAGATTTCATGTTTGTCACTTAAAATGTGCAGAGGAAGGTAGTCCAGGGTTCTTTACAGTTTCCTAATACCTCACCTTAGTCACGGTTTTTATTTATTCTTATTTATTATTGTTTCTATTTATTATATTTAGTTGTATTGTATTTATGGTTGAACGGAAGTCTCGCATCTTGTCACCTCAGGCTGGAGTGCGAGTGGCCCGGATCTCAGCTCACTTGCAGAGCTCCGGCTCCTGGGTGTTCAGCAGCCATTTCGTGCCTCCGCTCCGAGTAGCTGGGACTGACGCAGGCGCTCCGCGCACCCTCGCCACGCGTTATTTTTTTGTATTTTAGTAGGAGCGACGGCTTGGTTCACCGGTGTTAGGCTGGGGGAATAGGTCTCGATCTCCTGACCTCGTGATCCGCCCGTCTCGGCCTCCCAAAGTGCTGGGATTACAGGCTTGAGCCACCACGCCCGGCCAATCATATTTTTATTCTTGTAGTTACAGTGTGGCTGCTGTTTTTCCAGGCCTTGGATTGCCTTCCAGGGAGGGAAAGAGGAAAGGTCAAAAGGCTGAGTCTGTCTCTTTTTAGCTGAGAAACACAGATTTCTCAAAAATTTTAAGAGTATACTGCAATTCAATTTTCATCTGTTTTGTTTTGTTTTGTTTTTTTAAAACTCATTCTTGCTCTGTTGCCAGGCTGGAATGCAGTGATGCGATCTTGGTTCACTGTAACAACCTCCGCCCCTGTGGTTCAAGCGATTCTTCTGCCTTAGCCTCCCAAGTAGATGAGATTACAGGTGCGTGCCACCACGCCCGGCTCATTTTTTTGTGGTTTTAGTAGAGACCAGGTTTCACCATGTTGGCCAGGATTTTCTCAAACTCCAGACCTCGTGATCTGCCCTCCTCTGCCTCCCAAAGTGGTGGGATTAGAGGCATGAGCTAATGTGCCCAGCTTGCAATTTTCATCTTTTGGCTGCAAGTAAGTTATGTCACTACTCTCAGCTGCTGTGGTGTGTAACTGGGCATGTTGCTTCCTCTCTGTTAGATAGGTTTTAAGATTTATGAATAGGCACTGAATTTTGTCAATTGCTTTTTTCTTTTGTGATTGAGCAATTTTTTTCTTGTCTTTTTATGCTGATAAGGTAACTTAATAGTGTTTGGCTTTTGAATGATTTAACATTGCATTTCTGGAATTAAATCAACTTTGTTGTGATATATGATTAATATCATTTTATATGTGGTTGAGATGGGCTTGCTCATAGTTCATTTGGTAATTTTGTACTTACATTCACAAGAGGAAGTGGAGTGTTAAGTTTTTTTCTGGTGATGTCTAGTTAGGTGTTTTTTTCTTTTTTTAAAGCAGTCTCGCTCTGTCGCCCAGACTGGAGTGCTGGAGTGCAGTGGTGCAATCTTGGCTCACCGCATGCTCTGCCTTCTGTTTTTTTTTTTTACTATGTCTAATGATGTTCTATAGAAGAAAGAGATGTAGCATGTGGTCACGCTGCCATCTTGACAGTGGAATTTTTGTTGTTGTTTTTTGTTTTGAGATAGAGTCTCTCTCTTGTGGCCTAGACTGGAGTGCAGTGGCGCCTTCTTGGCTCATTGCAACTTCCGCCTCCCAGGTTCAAGTGATTCTCCCACCTCAGCCTCCTGAGTAGGCTGGGATTACAGGCACCCACCACCTCACCCAGCTAATTTTTATATTTTTAGAGGGACAGGATTTTGCCATATTGGCCAGGCTAGTCTCGAACTCCTGACCTCAGGTGATCTGCCTGCCTCAGCCTACCAATGTGCTGGGATTACAGGCATGAGCCACCGCGCTCGGCGAACAGTGGACTGCTTTTGTCTGTCTACTCTGTGAAATAGTAAGACCTCACACACCAGGAGCTCAATATGGATTTAGTCCGGAATGAGGATGGCAGAGGCAGAGCGGCATGGGGGCCTGAGTCCGGGTCCTCCGGCTCACTCTGGCCACACCATGAGAGTCTTCTCTTGTGCCTACTCAGCCCTCCACGCTGGTGTTGGCTGAGGGGTCCACTCCTTCCAGGGTTCTGGATCTCTGGTGCAAGTTCCATTGTCTCAGCATCAACTTGGCCTGGGCGCAGCCCACCCAGTTGGCTGTGTCCTGTATTGCAGTGGCCAAGCCGCTCTTAAGAGGGCTGCAGGCGGTTCTCTGAGGCCACTGCCTGAGGCCACTCTGCTCAGTAGCCTCACTGTCTCTCTCTCTCTTTTTTTTCTCTTTTTCCGGGATTTTTATTTCTTTAATTCATACAAATGGTTACAGTGACAAACATGATTTTAACCAAAATATTGCTAGCCTACCACATCAGTAGGACGGCACTGGTGCGGGCTGGGACGCTGGGCACCTTCCACGTCCCCAGGACAGACGTCGATGGGCAGCAGGCATGCTGGGCATGCCCAAACTTTTCCTCTTGGAGCTGCTTCGTGATGCCGTCTTCATTTGGCACAAGGCGGGGGGTTCATGCCAAAATTAGGAAAAACAGCCTTCATTTTGTTTTTCTAAATTATTCTAAAAATAAGCAGGTAGAAAAAAGAATGCACTGTGTGGCATAAAAAGAAAAACAGGAAGGATTCATTGTCCTGAGAAGTTTGCCAACTGCCTCATTCCGGGGCACGTTCCAACATAAAAAACACAAACAAACAAACAAACCACAACTAAAAAAACCCTCAAATTGACTTCCGAATGCTGCTTCAGGTTTTCTTTTTGTTGACAGCGAAGCAAACAGATCCTTTGCAATGTTTTAAAAACTACACAGACAAGAAGGTTCATGGCAGAATAACTACTGACTTCTGCTTAATGAGGAACGCAAAGGACACAGGGCAGAGCGCCCACAGGACGGACGACAACCCACACGAGGCCCAGCGCTGCCCCCTGCCTCCTCCTGACAGCCCGGACCAGTCTCTGCAGTGCCAGGGCCGCCACGCAGGCGCCTCCTCCACATACTCTGGTCCGAGGGTTTCCGGGCCCTCCGCCCAGGCGCGGGAGCTACAGCTGGTCTCTGGCGTGGCCTCTGTCCACCTCCGGCTCCACGGTTTGGCCAGGAGAAGGGGCGTGGGGCGGGCGGGCCACGGGGGCAGGCGTGGGACAGGCACGCGGCGCTGGAGACGCACCTTCCGCAGCAGCTGGGACGCCAGTGGGGGCGTTGCCAGTGGGGGCCACGCCCACCGCGCCCGGAGGGCACCTGTAGGCCGCCCGGTTGAGCTCAGGGGCACCACGCGGGGTCCCTGCCGGCCCAGTGGGCGGCGGCCGCCAGATGGTCCTTGTTGACACAGTTCTTCAGGCCGTCTGGGATCCGGCCTGGGAGGGCTCTGCGGATCTCCCGGCCCCGCCTCGCGCATCTCGGTGGATGCCTGCCGGCTGTACCACGCAGCGTGGGGGGTGCAGAAGAGACTGGCCGCATCCTGGGGGGCCTGGCTAAAGCTGAAGGGTTCTGGCTCCTGCACGTCCAGGGCCGCGCTGGGCCAACGCCTTCTCGTCCGCCAGGCCGCCCCGGGCCGTGTTCACCAGGAAGGCCCCTTGTCTCACCCCAAAGGACAGCAGCATTCTGAAGGAAAGCGCAGCCAGGCGCAGTGGTTCAGGCCTGTAATCCCAGCACTTTGGGAGGCCAAGGCGGGTGGATCACTTAAGGTCAGGAGTTTGACATCAGCCTGGCCAACATGGTGAAACCCCATCTCTACTAAAAATACAAAATTTAGCTGTGTGTGGTGGTGCATGCCTGTAATCTCAGCTACTCAGGAGGCTGAGGCAGAAGAATCGCTTGAACCTGGGAGGCAGAGGTTGCAGTGAGCAGAATTCACGCCACTGCACTCCAGCCTGGGTGACAGAAGGAGACTCTGTCTCAATAAATAAATAAAATAAAAGAAAGCAACATAAACTATGTTGTTTGTACAAACAGTTTAGGCACAGTGAGCCACTCTTATTAGGTAGGGAATGGTGATAGCTCTCTCTAAACCCAAGTTTCTAGATGCCAAATCTGCAAGCAGCCCTCTCGAAGGACAGTAGTCTCAGACCTGCTATTCTGACTCTTCTGAACAACATCCTAGACAAAAGTACTAATTCTTTTTTTTTTCCCCCACTATGGAGTCTTGCTCTGTTTCCCAGGCTGGTCTTGAACTCCCGGGCTCAAGCGATCCTCCTACTTCAGCCTCCCAAAGTGCTAGGACTACAGGTGTGAGCCACCACGCCTGGCCAGGTTCTACTTTTTAATATTTAAAATATGGAATAGACTGGGCATGGTGGCTTACACCTGTAATCCCAGAAATTTGGGAGGCCGAGGCAGGCGGATCACCAGAGGTCAGTAGTTCGAGACCAGCCTGGCCAACATGGTGAACCCTGTCTCTACTAAAAGGATAAAAATTAGCCAGGTGTTGTGGCAGATTCTTGTAATCCCAGCTGCTCAGAAGGCTGAGGCACTTAAACCAGGGGGGTAGAGATTGCAGTGAGCCGATATCATGCCACTGCACTCTAGCCTCAGTGACACAGTGAGACTCTGCGTCAAAAAAAAAAAAAAAACGAACTAGATGGTGTCAGTGATTTCTGTTGCATCAGATCTGGAGGCAGTCTGTACCTGATTGCTCCACTTTTAGTGGTGCTAAGTTCAAATAATTCAGGTGGTGAGAAACTGACTCCTTCACTGCAAACATCCCCGTCATCCTCTCATCTAATACAGTAGTTTCATCCATTGCCATCTTTGCCTCAATAAATTAATTAAATACCACAAAACGGTGATTTTTTTTTTTTTTTTTTGACATGGA